TGCATACATTACAATAGAGAACTCCTACAGATTTGTGAGGGCGGGATGAAACGAACTGCGAGAAGCCGACAGAAGTTGAAAGTGTGTGTTGTTTATGGTAGCAGAGATAGATAGACAGTACATGGTAGTTTTATGTGTTGCGCACATCCAGAAATACACCAGTTGCTGCCTGGAGCGTAGAAGCCGGTACTGTAATGGACAAGTATCCTTTTCGGAAAATATGCTTGATAGCGCGTCACGATTTGCAGAAATCGGAAATAGTGAACTGCGAGACTAGATTTCTTCCCAGCCATGCTTATTTATAAGAAGGAGCTTCGTTTGGGATAGAATCGGAAATTTAGGGGCGAAGGAGGGTGGGGAGTGGGAGAGGGCGGGGGAAGTGAAGGTAACTTTCGTTTGCTTCCTCAACAGTGCGTGCTTTCTCTGGATACTTGAAGTTTTTTCAGTTTTTCAAAATTAACTGCTGGTTTTAAAGAACTGCTAAAGGGTTTTTTTCGAAAAATACGTATGAATGTCTTCTTCGAGGAAGTTCCCCGATTATTCTGCTGTATTGACAGAAATCGAGAGGCTATTTTGGAAGACGGATTCATGCTAATAGCATCAACTATTGTCACACAGAACATAGAAAGTGTTTTGTCTGGCAGTTTTTTGGAAATATTGAATTAAAAAATATTGAATTGAATCCCACGAATATAAATTATTTTACAGGAGAGTTCTGGACAACTGAGGAGCCCAGTTAGAGCAAATTTACAGACTCAGTCGTCAGTCACAAGCCGAAATGAAGTAGCTCGTATGTAGCGAATTTCAACTGCGTTTTATGTTCTTATGACAGCTTATATTTTGTAGTCACATTTTTCAGTGAGCATTTCTCATGAACCTGTTTGTTGCTAATAGTGAAGCGGCTTTTTTCGGGAAAAATCTTGTGCATCTTGAGTTTTTATTTTTTTAAAGCTACCAAAAAACAAGAAATTAGTAACTTTTGTAAAAGTGGAGACTCAGTGAATGCTCGTCCCGTACGAGTGGGATTTTTTATGCTTTAACTTCGTCATATGTGGATATCTGAAAAATAGGTACCATATTGAAATTTGTTGCAGATGTTCGAGGTCATTTTCGTTCTTGTTTGCTCTCTCTCTCTCTCTCGCCCTCTCTGTCCCTCAAATTTGCCTTTTTTTTTTTGGTTTTTGTATACATTATCATTGCTAGTTGTTTTCAATTTTGCCAAATTTAACCACGAGCTTTATGAGTAATGACAATACTCGCGTTTGTTTATCGTTTTTTTTTTTTTTTTTTTTAATTTATCAGCATGTTATTACCATGCCCTTCATACGTATGAGAGGCAGTCTTCGGATTTCGAAAATTAAAATTTTGAAAAAAAAGGTGTCTGAGTCTTGCTTGGATGAACTATATCAATTCATAAATTTAAATTTGAATTCGGGTCCTTCGTAACATTAGGAATTTCGCAAATCTTTTATGCTTTTATACTGTGGCTGCTGCTTTTGCAGACATTTTAGGAAATTAGGCAGCTATTCTGAGCTGTTATTATATGGCTTTTGAGTGTTTGTTTTTGTGATTGTAAACGATCTGTTTTTCCTTCTGATGGCTCTGTCATTTGTATTTTGCTTGCAACATTGCTACATTGTCTAGTTTGGTCAAGAAAGTCTGTATTTTTTAATTTTTTTATAATTTTGGCCGTTTGTTTTGTAAATTTTCCCAGTTTGCACGACGAGTATCATTTCACTCATCCTCTCTCTCTGTCTGTCTCTGTCTCTGTCTCTCTTTTCTGAGTCAGAAATGTGTATATTTATAAGCCATAAATATTCAAAATGTCCGTGCATCACCAAGCAGATGGTCTCAAAAAAACAGCTTTAATGTCTATAAGTTATTTGATCAAACAAAAAATGCTTCAATGCGTTTCCATCACCGAAAAGCGTGAAATTTTTTAGTATAACTTTACGGCAATGTGAAACTTCAGATTTCGCGCTGGCTTCAGATTTTGCTTTCGCTTTTTTCCACCTAAGGTGACCTTTTATATGTATTGGAGGTATCGAGTATAAGAGTACACTTATATCCGTGGCGACAGAAATGTTTGAGTGGTCTCAGGCGATCCGTGTCATAGCGTAACTCTTGCGCTGGTTTGCTATCGTCTTCGGGAAGCATATATAGACGGGCATAGTTGCTCCTGCTGAAAAATGCCCAATTTGATGAATCGCAGAGTCTTTCTTGTGAGGCGAAATACTAGTTATCATGGGTTTGCACAACCATGAAGCATTTTTTATAAAGCTCTGTGTCGGGAAAGGACAATATACGTTGTTTTGAGTAACGCAAATGGTCGACCTATTCTGAATTTCAGGGAAGTAGTCTGCTAATCTGGAAATGCAAATGTTTTCTGGAATATAACATCCGAAACATTATTTTCAGAATATTTACGTTCGCAGTTCTGCTGTTACAGGCTGAAACGGTGAGATCTCGCTATTTTTCATTGAAATTGAGTTAACCTAAATTTTTCGAGCTAATTGCATTTGCACACTGTCTGAAGTACTTGTACTTTAGCACGAAGAGAGCAGAACGCGGTTTGGAATCTACACTGTTGACGAAGTTAATCACCATGGGAAGTTTAAGGTGGTGGTGCGCAATGCCGTCCATAGTCTTAATTGTGTCAAAATGCATCTTCCGAAATTTGTTTTAGCCTCGTTTTGCATGAGCAGCTGCTACTGCTGCAAATCTGCTAATTTTGCTAGGAAGTATCCGAGAGGGGTTTGCGCCAGTATCTGCTTGATGTTGATAGAAGCGCTCATAGGAGTGACGAAGAGTGCATGCTTTTCCGTAAAGTTCGAGATGCGAAGCGAAGTGGTATGTGTCCATAATTTCCGTTGTTTTCTGGTACAGAAATTTTTAGAACGAACTTACAATGGTGGCAGCTCTGCGTTGGCAAGAACGGATCTGAGCGCTTCAATAAGTGTAAATCTTTCAGGAATTTGGCCATATAAGGCATTTTCAACAATCACACTACCATGGTGGTCCTGACGCAGTAGTAATTTGAGCCTGATGAATCGCTCGGCATCTCCAACACCATTTTTCGTACCCTGAAATTCTACGATTGCTCGCTCTTGCCCGAGCAAATCTTTTAAGTTCTCTCTTCCAGAAGGCAGGTAGTATTGAGCTTGGGAAAAATAACACTATTTAGTTCGCCTCAATGTTGATGAATGCGTGGCCAGGTACTTGCATTAATGTAACTACATCCGCCAGCATTACCAACAACATTCGGCACATGTTTAAATTAAATTTTCTTAACTCGCCACTGCTTGTCTTCTGAACTAAGGAAAGTTCGCATTGGCTACTATCACGCATCAGTGTCGCAGACGTGTCAGTGTCACCAAGCTCAGTCTTGTTCTGCTCCTACTAAAAGTACATGAAAAAGTCAGCACAGCTATCTGCTATGCGTGTATCAACTTTTTGGATTGCTTGATGGCGAAAAAAAAATTTTTTTATGCAGCAGTTTTGCCACGTTATATGCACATGGAGGACATCGTATAATGTTCTAGTGATTACTCGGTGGAGGTGTTGCATGAGTTCATATTTCAACACGGATCTGGAGCTGCGGCGTCCTTTGAAGACATTCTTCGACCACCTGAGGTTCATAGTAGCTCTTCACCTCCAGCTGCCGACCTACCTCCGTTGTTTCAACGAGAAGTACGCTGGATCACTGGACTACATTACTTTCGTCACACCACGTTGGCATACACTTGCGTTTTATGCACAGCTGCATATAATATTTATGGTAGTTGTCAAGTTGGCAGTGGCCCGTTCCGCCAAGCTTGGATGTTTTAGGGAATGTGGCGCAGTGGCTTCTCCGCTTATTTAGACCGGCAAGAATCAAAGCCCACCGTATCTCAACCTTACCAGTACCAATAATTAAAGCTTTTGAGAATAACTGGCGTGAATTGCACCAGTAATTTCAGCGATCGCGCTTTCATCCAAGTGCACCTAATTTTCGCTAACAGACATATTGACTTACCCCGGTTCTGTCTTGCATACCACTGTCCATCCACTCTTCATAGTCCTTGAGGTTATCGTAGGCCGGTTCCGCTGAATCAGAAGCATTACAGACAAGTCCGCTGCACATAGACATGTAAAAAAAAAAGTATTTCTTTTTCCATGAGCTTTTGCTGAGGAAGAGACTGATTTTTACAGAAAACATTTTTTGTTATCTTTATTTTTGTCTGTCTTTCTTAAAGCACTGTAAATAAGAGTACAAATACAGCACAGAGCAGAAAAGCGAAATCTGGGATGTAGTTTTTTGCAAAAAAATGAATAAGACAGTTAACTGCAGTTACCATTGGTGGTTTGCGCTACAGCGTCAACTTTTTCCACACGCTCACGTGAACGCTCTTTTGCTGTTGGTAATTCCTGAAATTTAGGAGAGCTTTAGCAAACAAATTAAAGCAAAACCATTTTCGAATCAATGTACAAAATCAGTTTCGAATCAAACTGCGAATCTTAATTTAAAAAAGAAAGATTTGTTAGAAACTCTAATTCTGTTGAAACTCTAATTCCGCCCCGTTAAAAAAAAACTTGAACTACAGATCCCGCTAGGAGAAATTTCTGGTGAATTTTTATTTTTCTTGATAAGTTTGTTTAAATTTAACAAATTCATGGCCAAAAATTGCAGTTGAAAACTAACACATGTTCGCACCGGTTCAGAGCTTCTCTTTTTTGCTGGCTGAGCACCTGCTGATGGTGTTCCGGGTGCTAGAAAGTTTTTTCTTTTTAAATTTAGGAGTCGGTTCAATCACTTATGTGCAGGACGATTTGGGGAAGATCTGCTAAAGCAGAAGGGGAAGAGGAAAACAGCTGAGGCTAATTTTTGAATTTCTCTGTCATTTTCTTTTTTTTTTTTGTTTTGTCCTGCAGAATGTACACTAACGAATGCATTCAGTACGTAAAGAAATAAAGCTGTATACCGGATGACTTACTGCTGACGGACTACCACTTCTACCTCGTTTTCACACACAACAAACTGCGAAATCATTTTAGTAATTTGGAAATGAAGTTGAAAGAGGAAGAAAAAAAAAAAAGAGTGTGATTTTCGTGATTTTTTTCTAATGTAATAAGTAATCCACCGCATCACAATTGAAATAACTGGCCAACGCACGGGCTCTCCGTGCCAAGATACGTTTTTTGCATGGTTCCCCGCAGTTTTTGTTGCTACCGGCACCGGTTTTTTCCGCAAATGGTTCTAGCTAAACAAATTAAGACTGGCCGCCAAAACTGTCAGAAAACATCCCCTTAAAATTTCAGCTTTCTAGCTTCCCTGGCACCTGAGTTAGCAACTTACTGGAACAAAATTTTCACGGGACCGTGTATATTTACCAACCATACCTGAGAGCTGGGTTCGAGCTGAATGAAACTCAGGTGGACGGGGTATATCCTCTTAAAATTGCATCTTGAGTTATCATTTACAAGAAGAAGATTTTGGCGGGCCCGTATGTGGGTACCACGCTTATCCGGGGCTGGGTTTGAGCCCACTAATACCCACTTGGACGGGGAACATCATCCTAAGATTTCAGCTTTCTAGCTTCTCAGATCCCCGCGTTATGAACTTACCCGAAATAAATTTTGACGAGCTCGCACGCGGGTACCACGCTTACCCGGAGGCTGGGTTTGAGCCCACTAATACCCGCTTGGGCAGGGAACATTAATCCAAGATTTCAGCGTTCTAGCTTCTCAGATCCTCGAGTTTTGAACTGACCCCAAAAAAACTTTGGCGGGCCCGTACGCGGGTACCACGCGGGTTTTGGCGCCCATTTTAGGGATTGGAGCCGGCATGTGCATGTAGATTAAATTCCCGAAATTTCAGCCCGGCAGCTTTTATAGGTCCTGAGATGAAAGTGCGTGACAGACGCACACACAGACACACGGACACACAGACAACCTCTCGTCAATATGCGTTTTTCGCATCGCACTGCTGCAAAAAACGCATAAAAAATTAACCAGTTGGTGACTGTGTTAGCATATCCTTGACCGTGAGTTGCTCTGCAAATAATCCATAATTGGAAACACTGCGAAAAATATGCATCACTTCGGAGTTCACACAGATATAACAGTGAGCTCGACAGTTCTTCATTACGAATGATGGTAGGAAAGTATCGACTTCTATGGAAAATACTGCGCTCCAAGTTTCAACAGGAGTCCTGACCTTTCTTACTAATATGTTGTCAGACTCAAGTATGAGACAAAATTAACGCTGGAAACAGACTTACTAGCAGTCTGTGTAATAAATTTGGATTGATTTTGACGACGTTAATTCGTTGAGCGCTAACGGCACCCTGTCTTACCAACACTCTCGCCATCGTCCTCTCCTTCACCTCATTGGTGCCTAATGCAATATACCACCAATGCATAATTTTCCGCAGAATAAATTTCAGATTGTTCTTGACTCGATCCAACCAGTTTTGAAACCAAAATCAATTTTATTACGTAAATCGATATGATGATAACATTAAACTAACGACGAGAATCAGGTTCGCATACTACGGTCTGACTTTTATTACGTGACCTGCTTCGATGCCTTCTCTTTTCCCATTCAAGCGCAAACGAATACGTTGGCCTAAAATGTAAAGTGTCCTAACGTTGCCATTGCGATTAGCAGTGCATGATCAGTGCACCTGAGGTAGTTCAGCACCTACCTTCATCTGCTACACTCTCATTATGTTCAACTCCTTCGAGTCGTTATTTCTGCCTCACTAATACCGCTTACTGACAAGCAAAATATGTCAATTCTGGGATGAGATCGCAATCCATCCAGCACTTTTTGCTCCCTCCTTGGGGTCACTAGTAAATCACAATGTAGTAGTCAAAGTGCCATTTACGAAAAGCTCTGCTTTCATACTCTTCGCGATTTCAAAAGAGTACGCATTTTGTTTTTTACCAAATACAAAGTTCATAGCTGTTTTTCACCAAACTCAAAGGTCATACTCAGCACTGAATCCACTTCAAAAATTCGACCCACCCCACCACAGCCAGTCGGACCTTGTTCGCCAGGTTCACCGTCACTACTACCCGCGCCATCCATTTCTAGTTTACGCTGCGACCCGCGAATACCAGTTGATCCTTCCCACCCTGGTGCTCTGGAACCGTGCTTGCTGCCGGTCGTAGAGTGTTCCGCTCCCATTTTTAAAAAATATTTGATTTTCATTAAGGCGCAGTGTGGACTAGAATTCTACATCGTGTTTTTCTTACCTCGCATTGAGTGGTATCTGGACATGAATAGTGAAGCCGCTGATGCGGTTACCCGCATCACTATAGTCTGGTGACTGCCCGAATCCAGCCATTTCGCAACCGCCTAGTACAGAAGCACAGTCTGTACTGACAACTGTTGTTAAATTTTACTGCCTAGAAACTTCATCCTTTTCCGCATATATGCAGATGCATGGAGCAGTGATTCGCCTAATACTCAGTCGAGCATGCATGGGTGTGTGTACTGAGAGCATGTGTGCGTGTTATGGCGGAGCACCGATCCCGCATCAACTACAGAAAAAGTTACGAAGTCGTTGAATCAAGAAGCCAATTTCCACTGCTCTTAGTCGATTTATCTTCTGAATCTGTTTTAGCTGCACACCTCCTTGTCCTTGATTGTGCCAATCACAAATAAGTTCCGGCAGAAAGCATTTCTGGACAATCCGGGAAACTTGAAAATTTCCATTGTCGTATACAAAAATGTGCATTTCAAAAACCCGAATATATTACTCATTAAGGAGCAATCTAACGGAAGCCCAATCAAACAGGACGTCAGTTTTCTCAGTGTTGCTCTTACTTACTGCATAATCTAGACTCCGTTTTAATTGATTCGACATTAGCAATTATCAGAACTTATGCATGTAAGGAATTGTTATGAGAAAGATAATGGCAACTGTGAATAATGGTCGGGGGTACAAGTTTTACTGAGCAAAAAGCAAAGGATAGCAAATGATTAAGGTAGTTTTTATGCGTTTTTTGCAGCAATGCAATGCGAAAAACGCATATTGACGAGAGGTTGTCTG